TCTAAATACATGTATATTATAGAAAAAATACACCCAGACACAGAACAAATGATCGTGTTCATCAAATAATATTTATCCTGTATGGGAATCGAGCCTTATTATGACGTTTAGCACAATACTCGTACCAACAACATATATTTAGGTATACAAGACAATTGACAAAAGTAATAAAGCGAGTTTTTTTAGATATACTAATCTATAATACTAATGATAAAAGACTTTTTCTTCGAAGGATGTGAGACAGAAAACGTTTACTCTTTATCTAGTCAATCGGAGTGCGTTGAACTCGGCCAATTCCCATCATCACATATATTTTACTACAATAGTAATACGATGCTATTGACGCAATGAATAGGTACTTTAAATTGAATGTTAACTCATTATAGTTTTATAGACTTGATATTCTCACCTACAGAAAAGTAGACAGCCCGTGGGCGTTAGGATCACATCATTAATCAAATAGATTCATTTATTTTATAATTGCTTTTGTCTTTGTATTGCCAAGTTAAGTTAACCAGATATTTCAACAAAGATTTTTGAAATTAAATAAGTTAGCCATTAGTTAGTTGACGGGCCTGTTATTCTAGTGGTTAGTTACCCTGACTGCTAAGCCGGAGGTCGTGGGTTCGATTCCCACCCAGGACAAATATTTGTGTGATGAGCACAATAATTTGTACCGTGTCTGGTTGTAATTTATCTATTCAAAATATATAAGTATGTTTATCAGCAGTCGGGTTATCATAGTACAGGCTCTGCCTAGTTTGGGATCAGACAGCCGTGTGTGAGATGTGTGAGGTTATTATTATTATTATTTGATGGTACTGATCAGGCTAGGTGATCATGCCTTGCGGGTCGCGGGCCCAACGGTTGGTGTTGGGTCGTTGTATATACTAATCGGCGTGAGAGCCTTTTCATATCGCGATACAGGATCAGCAGTTACTTTGTAGTTCGGTGTGACTTCGTTAGATGGCATTGAAGTATATTTTTGTTTCACTGTATGTCTTGTTCTTGACGAAAATTTTAGTTCAGTATTTCTAGAGTATCGTAAGAGGTTAAGTGGTAATCAAGTAGGTTAACATATTTTAAAATTAAGCAATCCTAGACAGGTCAGTCTATGGATGGATTCTTAACACAGGCTCAATTTTTAACCCTAAGAAGATCAGGTAAAGCCGTGTAGGTTCCAAATGCCATACGAACATTTGTGGCCCTTTTTTGGCGTTGGAACCCTAAAAAAGGCCTACACAGTCTATCTACAGAACTTCGATACCGCCTAGTACTTGGGTTGTGGTGGTCTGATGGCAATTGTCCGTGTGAAAAATCGAAGTTTAGCCGTATCGTAGCAGACTCAAAGCCGACCCCAACTTAATTTTGGAAAAGAGGCCTCGATAAAAAAAAAAATTAAACCTTTAATATTTCTCTGAGGAACCCTTTATTTAATTCCTTTAAAAAATTACCAAGAACTATCCAAAAACTCCGTGTAGTGACGGATTAAGAATACGGAATGTCACTACCCCAATTCATCCCGTGGGTGTCGTAAGAACCGTCTAAGGGCGCAAAACAACGCAGGACACCAGCACTGCAAAAAGACGGAAAACTTGACACAAACCCTATACCAACCCGCCTGGCCAGCGTGTATAGTAGGCCAAAACCTTCTTTCTAAGGAGAGGCCTATGTCCAGCAGTGGACTATTAAAGGCTGTTGATGTGATGTGATCCAAAAAAAAGTTGGAACAATTAAAAAGAAACTTCACATTCAGATATGGTTAATATTCACTGACCCGAATGAATTGTCTATTTCACAATTTCATCATACATGTCCGCGCGTACCCACAGGCTGGTGATGACCATTGTCTTGCAAGTCGCCTTGGATGACGTAATCTATACTAATATTATAAAGCTGAAGAGTTTGTTTGTTTGTTTGTTTGTTTGAACGCGCTAATCTCAGGAACTACTGGTCCGATTTGAAAAATTCTTTCAGTGTTAGATAGTCCATTTATCGAGGAAGGCTATAGGCTATTTATCATCACGCTAAGACCAATAGGAGCGGAGCACCAATGAAGAATGTTTCAAAAACGGAGACAATTTATTACTATTGAGAGACGCAGACGAAGTTGCGCGGGTCAGCTAGTTTTATATAACGTACATTACAGTCGCAATTTTAGAGAAATTACCCGTGGGATTAGAGTTTCTTAACTATTGGTAGTTGGTGATTCTGATCGTGAGCCGCTAACGGCTTTCCATTGATTCTCACGATCTAAGATCTCTGCGGAAATTAAGTTCAGATGAGTTTGATATTGCTGTGTTGAAATGAAAAGCTTTCTAGTTGGTACTCGTAGTTAGATGATTCGATTGTTTACTTAATGTTAAATAATTTTTTATGTTACGTGTACATTGAAACTGTAATGACATATGCTGCAGATATTTAAGAACAATAATAACAAATCTTACACACGGCCGTCTGATTCTGAGCCTGTACTATTGTAATTAAATTAGTAATATCAATAAATACAATCTATATGACTGCACGGATGGTGTAGTGGTTTAAGTGGTCACCTCGTTGTTTCCTACAGCGCTGAATGTTGTTGGTTCGATCCCCACACGGGATAACACTTTGTGTGGTTCATAAATTGTTTTTCTGGATCTGGTTAAGTCTCTCGCTACACAGGAAATATTCCTAGTGAGGGCGTTATCTTTTTTTTTAAGAAAATAAATCATAAAAACAAAACATGTTTTATATAACTGCCGTCCAGGTAAATAACAAATGACTAACAGATAATAAGTTATTATTCATTCTTGTAAATAACTCCTTGGACCTCGGATTTCATAAACTCACTTTATCTAGTGGGTGTCGTAAGAACCGAATAAGAGAACAAACTACGCAGGACAATAGCACTGCAAAGAGAAGGCAAAATTGGAACAAACCCTATACCAACCCGTCTGGCCAGCGTGGCATAGAAGGCCAAAACCTCTTTTCTAAGGAGAGACCTTTGTCCAGCAGTGCAATACTAAAGGCTTTTTTGGCAATGATCATGATTACCCAAATTTACCTGTTACCTTTTGCCATTCTAAAAACATTATATTCCCAAGAATAGTAGTGAAAGTAATATTAATTTCTACCACAATGGCTTACGGTGTGAAGGTGATATCTTGATGATCTGTCATGATGCAGATAACCTTTTAGAAACAATTTTACATATTATTATGTGCTTAAGATTCAATGCTAGCGACGAATTGTACATACATATTTATATGACGTTAGTGGCTATTACAGCAATGGTCATCGGGTGACGAAATACGATTTCCTTAGCATGAGATGGTGTCTATTGAGTTTGTAAATTGAACTATCACGACTTCTGTCGCGGACAATTTATTGTTCCCGTGTGCAGTACGTTCAACCGCTTTTTATTCGGTGATATCATCATACATATAAATTACGAGTACTAAACCGCTGAGACTACACAATTGAGATTTTGGTAGCTGAATCTTTTCATGTTGTAAGCACTCATCATCATCATCATCAACAGCCTTTAACTGTCCACTGTTGGACACAGGCCTTTCCTTGGAAAGGAGGTTTTGGCCTACTATACCACGCTGACATGGCCTGACGGGTTGGTATAGGGTTTGTTTCAAGTTTTGCAGTGCTGTTGTTCTTCGTAGTTTGTTCCATTAGTCTTCTAGATGAATAGGGGTGGTGACACACGTATTCTCAATCCGTCACCACACGGACTAAGAAATTATTTCTGGAAATTTTCCACCTAAGGGGGTAAAATAAGGTGTGTTCGATTGTATCAAAATTCGTCATTTTCTAAGCTAGAAACACGAAATAATCACCTGAGTGAAGCACTAGGCCATAGCTAGTATGTACATTATTATTTATGTTGCAATTGTAAATTTTTTATTTATTTTTTACTTTTTTTCTCATTATTTATACGTTAGATATAATAGACGAGAAGCACATGATAATTGAATTGTCAAAAGAATACTTTTATGTTTTGATTTGCTGACGAAAGGGTCGAAAGAATAAAATCATTAAAGCTTTATTATGCGTCAAATGTTGTTGTTTAAATATCTTGGTAATCATGATGACGTAAATAAGAATGAGATAGTAAGAATTAGAAAGAGAATGTCTTTTTTGCCTTCCTCATTCAGCTCATGATAATCTAGCTTTCTAATCATAGGCTTCCTACAGGATTCGTGATAAGATAAATTAATGGTAAGATAAGAAATCACACCTGAGACTTTTTCATAACACTCTTTAAGAGGATTTCGAGGTTTAAAAAACCAGTATAAAAACGTGGTCTAACTCATGTTATGCTAACAGGCACACATATAGCTTGTAACAATGCTAATTGTACGGAGTTACTCTTACCATATACTAGTACTATGAGCTACCAAAATGTACTGAGCCAATAAGAGCTTGATGCTGTTATCAGGCGTTGGTTAGCACTGAATCCTCAAAATGTAACTACCTGATTTATCTAAAACCGATATTCGGTATTCCAATAAAAGACAGAGTACGGTGTCGAAATGTATTTATTCTCTATTTTTTTTGAAAAATAAAAACACAAACTTAATAATACATTAAGCTAGCCTTACTATTAAACTTTATACAATATGTGAATCGAGCCAGCGGCTAGCCACTTCGCCCTCCGTTGCCCAAAAACACAGCCATTGAACTGTTAAACTGACAGTTCAAATAGCTGTCAAAGTGAGCTACTAGCGACTGGTTAGCCGCTGGAACATGGTCACCAGTGTGCGTGCACAGTCGCAAGCGTTGGCCAGAGCGATGACAGCGGCCAGGACCGGCATCACCTACATTGTACGTGATCAGCGGCCCATTGGAATAAACATTCGAGCCGCTCGAAGATGAAGCAAGCGGGCCCGAATTACGTCGAATTATCCGAACTTTGCGTGGCTACTAAAACTAGACGTCCCTAATACTGATATTGGTGCTCTTGTTTCGTCTAATTATACTGAATAAGTTCGGATATATTAGTTAGCTTAGTAAGGAGCGCCGTAGCTGCCGGAGGGCACGCCGGACGCGGGGTATCCACCACCGGAGGAACCACCGGACTGTTCATATTGAGCAACCTGGATGGCTTGGCGGACTCCGTCAAGAACAATGCCGACAACGCGGGCAGATGGCACACCATAGCTGGTTGAGGGAGGTCCGTAGGAAGATGAAGGAGCACCGTAGGACGATGATGGGGCACCACCACCCAGTCCACCGTGACCACCGCCGGATGAAGCTTCTTCTTTCAGGAGGATGTTGCGGATTTGTTCAAGGAGCTGAGGGTCGACGTTCTGTCCTTCGGAGGTTGTGTAACCAGCAGATACGGGTCTGTAGGGGCCACCGCCAATGAGGCCACCACCGCTGCCACCATGGAAACCGCCACCGCCGCCACCTCCAGAGGGACGGTTGTAGTTGTAACCGCTTGGTGCTTCAGCGGTTGCGCAAGCAACCAACGCAAGGGCTATGCACTGGGGAAAAAAAAGCTTTATCAGAGCTAGTTCAGTGTTTATAATTCCTTAACTTTAGAAAGAAATAGTGACAAGTGTAGGTCGAAACATTAAATTAAGCTTTTATTAGGTTTTTAATAATGTGCCTTATATAAGGTTTTTAATAATTTGGATGAACTATAGAAGGTATAAAACTATCCGGATAAAACATAATTTCGGTCAATGCCTTACGAAAATAAGTCTGATATTTAAACAGTAGCAGAGATCGTCTTTGGACAGCCATCTGTTGAGTCATGTATGTATTTAATACACTTCTAAAAATTTCATGATTTCCTAAACATGACGATGACATCTGTTTAACTTTCAAGAATCAGGAACAATGCATGTAGATTCCATTAAAAAAAGCATCTAATTGTCGTTGATATTTTTGCTTCTCTTTTTTTTTAATGGTGTTTCAATTTTTATAATTGTTTTAATTTCATGTTATGTACGTAATAATTCAATTTTCTATTTACAAAGTTGTCATTCGGAGATCAAAGCAGGCCTTCATGGCCACATTTGTGTAGAGCCGCTATTCAAACGGCTCTTCAGTTGCTTTGTTGCTGAGATTTGTTTGTTGACCGTTTACAAAATAAATATTTACTTGAATGTCGTGCTTTATCAGTAAGACTTGTTTGGTAAATGTAAAGTCATTAAGGTTAAGCATTTATTAGGAAATAGAGAGTTTTCTATTAAGACATTTGTGTGCGGAATTTCGTATTTTGATTGTATTTTATTGATATTTTCGGGCTTTGAGACTAATTTTATTTGATTAATATATTCCTGTTATTTTATTAATAAATTCAAACTTTTATTTTACAGGTGGCGTCGTTCGCAATTGTATATTGCATTTGTAAGATAAGCTAGAGAGGTGGCTAGTTACTTTGTAATCCATTTTAGAAATAGGACGAATGTCCATAAGCATCAGTGCCGAGATCAAGGGATTTTTTTTTGTAACTTTTAGCTTTAGTTTACATTAGTTAAAAAGAGACAGATTAATTACCTTAAAAAGTGTTCATTGTTATTCTAACTGGTTAAGTATCTCAAAAAGTAAATAAATGAAAAACAAAAAATGATCAGATCACAGGTTAAATTGAATAAAAATAAGAATAAAACCTGGTTAATTAACAAGGCAGTTATGACATTATTATTCTAATGTCCACAGGTATCTTCTGGCCTTATTAGGAACAATAATGGCAAGTGAAAGTGGGGTCATATGATGGGAAGTAAAGGTCTCGTTGCATCACAAGCTACGCTCAGCTCCTGTGATTTATACGAGATCATGAACTTTAACACCAGGAAACTCGTGTATATTTGATTCGAGTTCACAATTTATTGGTTACGTATTTCTCATATTTATGTATTTAAAATATAAGGATTGCAAAAAATTAGCTAGAAAAATGAATTTGTTCTAATTGTGCTTCTTTTGTTTTAGGATTAATTATCAGGACCAGAGTTGTATATTTTTCATGTCTCTGATAATAAACTGAATTGTCTATGCCATGGTAAGTGAAATATTTAATAAATTCAGACCAGTTTGTACTAAAGACAATAATTAATAGAGGTATTAAACCGAATAAACATTTTTCAATAATTAAGAACATAAAGATTTCTTAGTTATTCGCTTAAAAGTATTGAAATAAAATATGCTTCTAGCTGTTATTTGGATCTACATTACAAAGGAAAAACTGACGCTTTGCCTTAATTGAACTATATACCATTAAAACGATGTTTAGTAAAACTATAATTTATATTTTAAAGCTCATAATGTATTGTATTCTTTACTCTACATATAATTTTAATGACTTAGGCACGGAGTAAAAATTCAGAAAAAGTTTAAAATGTAGGAATCAAATCTAGAATAAAATTGTAAGCACTAAACGAAACTACTCTAATCATAACCTGTATTTTGTGTGAAAGTGTGAATAAAAACTCTCAAATTCCTCAACAAAATGTCCGCAATTTTTAAATTGGTAACCTCCGAATCTCATAACAAATAGATTTCTCTCGACATTACGAAGTGCACTATGACATGAGCGATTGCGTCACAAGATGCCACTTCCGCCGGAAGCCACAGCGTCACCATTAACTGGCTTTTGTCTGATCATAATCATTAAGATATTATCACTTGATGAATATTTGACTTCATCATTTTAGACCATATTTATAAATAACTAGGTTTTAACTGCGGTTTTGTTCAATTAAAAGTATTTTTTTAAATCCCAGAAGGTATTGTGTTCTTTTCTATTTCAAAGCATTTTATGATGACCGAATTAACGGTACGACAGCGCACAAAACACGAACGAACATAGATAAATTGATTTATATACATATATATTTAGAAAAGAAAACTGCTTAGTTTTTGTTCAAATGAAGACATTGCAGTTCACACGTTTCGAATACATTTTATGGTGTATTTTTGTGTTTCAATATTGCTCATATATTGCTCACAAAAACATTTATGGTGGTTTTAAAGTTATGGCATTATCTTTATACCTTCATCATTTACTTATAAATCACTAAATTTACCATTTTCTTTAATGTACCTTTTATATTGTATTACCATGTTCTGTTCATTTGAAATACGTGATTCATTTCAAAACCTATTAGTGCAAACATATTCTAATGCTTTCTCTTAACAGCCTTAAATTTACAATGGTAGTATGTTTATGTAAATTTACTTTTATAATCTTGTATAATTTAAAAGAGATTGGCTTTATGAGTGTGCCTAATAAAGCTTAATACGGAATGCACACAGTTTCTAAACGTCACATTTAAAAAACGAACAACCATCCGATAAACACATTGAAAACGTTTCGCGGTCGTGAATAGAATTTGGAATAGATTTTTATACTCAGAATTTTATTGTCTATTGGAATGCAGAATTAGATGTTGCCATATTTATGTCAACCATGGATATTAAAGCTTTTGTCTTTAGACTATTTGTTGGCTTTATTATAAGATCAGTTATGGGGTAATAAACATTAGCTGTAAAGATCGTAATCTTAGCTACTTGTCAATTAATCTAACATATTTATGGCTGTAAAATAGCTATATTTCAATCAATTAACTTCAAAATATTTATAACATTAAAGTTCAACAGTGAAATTGCCAAATATGGTAAGATTTATCAAAACAGTTTTACGTAATTTTTTATTTTAAAACTAAATTGCGCTTCACTGTATTTTTCTATGACATAATCAAACTGATTGTGCAAACTTTTATTACGCAATTTGGGAAAACGTAGATATTTTCGGCACATTTACTGTGAGATTTTTCAGGGCAACACTAAGAAGTTATAGACAAAGAAAAATAATGAAAAGATTTTTGTTATTTATAACTGTTGTATTCGTAATTTCTTCAAATGCCTTTTGTAAATTGTGTTTTTTTTATGGTATAAGGGGGCAAACGAGCAGACAGAACACCTGATGTCAAGTAATTACCGCCACCCATGGACACTTGCAACTTAAGAGTCACAAGTGCTGCCTTTGACTCGGGAATCGGGTCCTCTCCTCTTGGAATCGGGGGGAGGAAGAGTTTGGGTTCCAGCAATCTCAAAAAAGCAAGATAAAAAATGCTTAACACCGGTTTTCTGCAAGGCTGCGATATAACTCCGGTCAAGCCTTCCCATTTGTGCTGAAGCGTGGTTCTCCCACGGTTATACGGATGTGACATTAATATAATTGCAACATTGTAGCTCATCATTTAGCTTATGCTCTATGGTCGGGGATCATTTACGTAATGTAAAGTTACGCGGTAACGGTAATTTCATGATGGTATTTCGCGTAAATTATTGTTGTTCAACATGAAAGGTTTATGTGCATTTGTAATTTCATAGGTAATGTGATATATGGCTTGGTATAGAGGTGTGACTATGTGTTAATGGCTTGTAAGACTATCTGTTTGTTTGTCATTCTGAGTGACATATTTTGTATTTGAATTGTTTTACTCTCACAAGAAAATGTGATTATATTAAGAAAAATTGAGGTTTAATGCCTTTTTCTTTTAATTATTTGGATAATCTCAGTTTTTTCTTAATTTAGTAGATGTAGCAGATTTAAATATTCTTTCTTTCTTTATCATTCTTTATAAAAGACAACTCGCATTAGGAGTATACCCTGTGTCGCGGGGGACTTTACACAAAGAACACCCAGACTCAGAACAACAATTTATGGATCACACAAAGTGTCGTTCCATGTGGGGATCGGACCCACAACACTCAGCGCAGTAGGAAGCGCGTAGGTGACCGCTTAAACCACTACGCAACCTGTGCGGTTAAAAAAAAAGTTTTTCTTATAGGTTTTTTCTTTTTCAAATACAATCTCCGAATACAAAATTGTTAAACAGGAACTTACTACAGTTTATGTAAGACTTTATGTGCGTTGATAAAGCAAACAAATAATTGTTCTGTATAGAGATCGAACCCGCTATATTAAAAGAGGACGTTCTCAAGACGACGATTTCGTACTGATTAAACTATTTTTGTTTTTAAAAATGCACTAAAACAAGGAACAAGTCAAGTTTCTCACGCTTAAAAACTTTTACACGGTCTAAATGTTTAATAAATAAGTTAGCTACGCTATGGGAATTTTCTATTGTTAAATAAATTCAAAGAAACGAAACTGTGGTATTCTAATGAGTGACAAAAATGGTGTGACAAAAGCCACGTACTCAAACACAATAGGATGGCAATGAGTGAAATCATTTGAAACGCACACATTTTGACATATGAAAGAGGTTTTATGTGACATAGATGATTTATTAAATGAATATTAAATGGCTACGGAATTAAGGGTCAACTTTTACTGCAAATTATATTCGGAATAGGATTTTTCTGTTTGAGTTCAAAGGTTATTTTGTTAGAAATATTTGTTGCTAATTCGGACATAAAGTTTGTAGTTAATTATTTCATTATTTGATTGTGCATTAATCTAAAAAAATTAACGACATAAATCGACATAAATCAATGTGGGTTGAAGATATGAAAAAAAAAGTTTCGGGATCAGATTACAATCGTGCTTTACACATAGGCATCTGTCGTGATTTATAAAGTCGTATATCACATTTAAACTGGCATGTAGCTTTAAGTGTTAGTGATAAAGTTCCAAGCTGCATAACGTTAAATTATTTTTAAATTTAGAGTACGCGCAATAATGCAGTATTTTTTTTGATGAGAAGCAAATAATATTTTGGTCATAGATTTGTTTTTTATAATGTGTTCCAATTTAAAATAATCAATCAAATTCAAAACGATTTTAATCCGATCCTAAGTGGCTAGTTCAGAAATCAATAAAGTGCATAAGGTACATTAATTTAAATCACATTCCAAAATTTAAAAAAATCGAACACACACAAATCCCGATGCACTATTTGATTTCAGAACGACACGGCACTTGTCACTTTTTTTTTCTTTTTCTTCAAGCACAGGCACTTCACTGAACTTACCGCTACGAAGGCTTTCATGATGTTTAGTGATGGGTCACTTCGGTACGTGGCGAAGTTGTGTGATGTTCTTGGATGGCGCCTGGTGATATATACTATACAGTGGCTGAGGTGGGGCGGAGAAAGGATAGCATAGGTTGTGTAAGCACGGGAGATCCTACCATCCGAATAGGAAGTTTTGGTTAATTGGTGGGCATCATGCGATACTTTTTCATACTATTTTATGATTGATCCGCGAGGTCAAGGGTCTTGTCGCTTTGCAGTTAAAGTGTTTTAACGCTTCATTGTGATAGGAATGTTATTAATGGTTACAGACGGTTTAGTTTTTTTTTTTATATCTTAATAGTAGGTCTTATAGAAATGAGTTTAGGCCTTTAGATATTAGATAATATAGATATGACGTCTTTGTTTACTATTCTATTTTATATTACTAAAAAGATATAATATATATATTATGTATAATGACGCGTGTTGGGGCTTCAAAGTAGTAAAGAAAAATGCTCAGAAGATTTGTACAGAGCTTTAATGTCCAAGATAACTTGCTTTTTTTAAATTTTGTGTATCGCAATGCTCGCTCGTTGGAAGTCGGAAAGAAAAGAAAAATATGTTGTGTGGTAGTTACAATGCATAGGGATGCGATACGAATGATAAGAATAGCATAGACAAACTATCGGCGTATACGGCGTTAATAACGCGTTTTCAAGTCATCTCTGACTCTCTGACGGTGACAACCGCGACGACGACGGAATTATAACAATCTAAGTTACCCAGATTAATGGCAGTTCCTGGGGGTATTTTGTGCAGTGGAATGGGTCACCTGGTGGTAAGTGACTACCGCCGCAACCGCTACTAACTAACGAGTCACAAGTGCTTTGTCACCCTTTAAGTCCTGCTCAGAATTAGCGGGAGGGAGGCTTCAGACTCCGGATAATCTTAAACTTACAATTTATTTCGGCCTACCCTATAGTTGATCTATGATATTATTAGATATCATCGTTAGTCATTATCATAATATTTCGGCAATCTGACACACAACGCCATCTAGTTTCAAACTAAGCACAAAGTATAAAGGTATTCTATCAGTCAATCTAGCTTTCATAGTACAAGCCCATACTATGAAAGCTAGATGGACTGATAAAATACCTTTATACTTTTTTTTTGTAAATACATACATATTAATCATAGATAAATATTTACAGATCATATAAACATTTGGTCCGACCCGGGCATCGAAACGAAACCTCAGCACAGCAGTAGCATACCTTACCACTGCACCACCGAGCCAGTCGAATACTTATTGAACTATTCTCAAATTGCGAAAACAACAAAAGAACATTTGTTATTTATTTTAGTTTTATTTGAAACAGCTTTAAATAGTTAAACATTAATTTATAAAGTAATAAACCTACTATAATAATTATCTTTCTTACTAAATTTAAACAAGTATACAATAGGGCATTTGTAGTATTGAATAAGTATGCTTCAACAATTCATCATGTTTATGCGTAGCCACGAAATATGTATATACACAGCTAAGTGGCGACTTTGATTACCACTTTTCATGCTTTAGATTCTACACGCATTGTAGCATCCACACAGTGGCAGCTATTCTTGATTAGGTCATGATAGAATTGTGTCGGAATATTAGAAATCCTTATGATGACTCCTTTTTGGACAGTCTTGTAATAAAGCTATAATGTTTATTGGTTAAATAATATCTCTCTGGAACTGCCAGAGTATAGTTATAAGCTTAGCATTACGCACGCACAAGGATCATAGATGAAAGGGAAATTGCGGTGAATTGCTAGTATTCTATTTGTAAAACACACTAAATTGAACCGACTTTATTTACCGACTTATTGATTTTATATGTAAGACTTTATGTACTCAAGTTTTTAGTGTTTACTATAATAATAATTAATTGTATGGTATGTGGTATGGTAAAGGATTATTCATTCCATGGGTGTCGTAAAAGACGACTAAGGGAGCAAACTATGCAGCACTGCAAAGAGAAGGAATACTTGAAACAAACCCTTTACCTTCTGGCCAGCGTAGCACAAGCCAAACGATCATGAGTAGTCTTTAAAAAGAAAAAAAAATGCTGTGTGTATAATATAGATAAAACTACGCAGAACAACAGCACTGCAGAGAGAAGGAAAACTTGACACAAACCCTATACCAACCCGTCTGGCCAGTGTGGTATAGTAGGTCAAAACCTCCTTTCTAAGGAGAGGCTTATTCCAGCAGTGGACTATTAAAGGCTGTTGATGATGATAATATAGATATTTATTCTTGACACAACCATCGCTTAACCGATGAATTGAAAATCATTCCTACAGGGCCTCAATTCTGCTATTTTATGTTCACGCCAAGCCACTGTCATACCACTGACACGCTATTGAGATGCCATCGAGTGGCCATTGGCATCGGTATAAATATCGGTAGTCTACACTAACTAAACAATAACACGACCCGAATATTATGATTCTTGAAACAAAACATAAAATTATTCAAAGACTTAATCACTATTTGTTATAGTATCATCCTTTATTGTTGGCCCGTCGTACTAGTTTCTTAAATCCTGGCGACTCAGCCTTTTCGAGCTACTCACGGTTTTCCATCCGACTCAAGTCGTACCGTTTACCCCAGCTCACTCGCTCATTTGTTTTGATTACCAATTCACATTTTCGCGTTATCTAGTATGCAAACGCTTACATTTCTGAAATAGAGTTGATATGAGAAGACGATCAGCTATGAAAGAATGCACATTAACATTGTACACGGACTTAAAAAAAGACATCTCTGTGGTTTTTTTCGGCGTTTCTTCCCAGAGCGAGTCTTAGGAAACGCCGGCGCCTTCTAGCTGTAAAATCCGACTTGTAAACTGAATAGGTTTACTTCCAGAAATAAATATTCATTTCATTTCATGCCGAAACCAGTCAAAAATGATTTTTGTTTCATGGTATACTGTTACCTGCTACCTACTGTTACCATGGTATACTGCAGGGTAACACATTCTGCTAACTCTGGATAAAATTGAGAAAGGAATAATGATGAGAACATTAATTTTTGAAAAAGATAGTTTATTCAAAACTAGTAGTATTGCATTTACTAAAAAGTTTCTTATATCTCAATTAATTATGTCGTTAATGGCTTTATGACGTTGTCTTACTTCTGACTTTTTCCTTTTCTTGAAATGTCAGTGAATTTTTATCTGCATTGAGTTTCTCTACATGCTATTAATTCAGTATTATTTAATATTTTATATAATACTAACACTAGTTCAAGACACACTTAACATAACATTTTGTCCGAGTTGTTTCTTGAATATATCTTATGCACATAATGGACAATTCTAGATTTAATAGTAAGGCCTTTATTTGTTGCGTCTGCATGGGGAGGGTTTGCCCATAATCGCCACGCTGGGCAGGCGGGTTTGCACAAGATGGCTGACAGGAGCTGGATGCGAGAAGCCTAAAATCGATCTAAGTGGCGTGCAATGGGAGAGGCCTATGTCCAGAGTGGACTGCGATAGGCTGATGATGATGAAGGCCTTTATTTTACACCTCTGCTCGTCTTTGAAGAAAAAAAATCTTCATGATGTTGTTTATGAACTTTTTCCAAATAAACAAAATAATTGGGGCAACACTTTAATGTATAAGAATATAAATCCTTAAATTACAGATTAGTTCCTAACTAGTACCTATTACAAGTAATAAGTTTTTTCGTTTGTTTATTATGCTCTGCCGCCTTAACTACTTTAACGGTTACAACGAAATGCTGTGTACACATTCTTAATAGTATAGATAAGGATATATTGAATCTACTACACAGAAAAACACTTTTACTACGCACGTCGAGTGTTGGGGTTCAAAGTCCACACTAGATATAATTTTGTGTTGTAACACATCCGAGTAGTGACGGATTTAGAATACGCAGTGTCACCACCCCTATTCATCCCGTGGGTGTCCAGAGGGTGCAAACTAAGCAGGATAACAGCACTGGAAAGAGAAGGAAAACTTGATACCAACCCGTCTGGCCAGCGTGGTACAGTAGGCCAAAACCTAATAGGGAATATGCATGTATTTTTTTTAGTTTTTTAAACGATTCTACTAGTTATTACATTACCAAAAATAAATATAACACATCCGAAATATAAACCGTTAAGCAAAAAAAAAATTATTAAAATCACCATCATTTTGGGGCAATTTGAACACGTCCATTTTGGCGCACTTTTTTTGTGACGTCAGATTACACTTTCAGACGAATTCGATGTCAACAACGGAGTAAAGTTCACAAAGTTTGTGAAAGTTAAAAAAGTGAGTGATAAAAATTAACTTATTACCATGGAACAGCCATTAAAAACTTATTATAAATATTGTGCCGTTTCTTTGTACCCAAATAATAACAAAACTGCACCTGACAAAGTATATTCAGTCATTGTGTTAAGTCTTTCTACACGGGAATTTAATAATTTAACACTGAAAACATATTAGTTATTAACTTAAAATGAAACAAATAATCACCAGAAACCAAATATTACAAATACACACAACTTGTTGACACTTTTGACAATGTAGGTTGACGTCACGTTTTATTCAACCAATAGCGTTGCGTTTTAGAAATTTGCGAGGGAATCTTAAAAAAGCCAATTTTTGATGATTAAATTTCACTATTAAATTATAATAAATTTCAAAAATAATTGTATGGGTATCTTTTTTTAGCAATAAAAATTACAAATAAAAATATTTTGTCCATTTTGGTGTCACGTGCATATTCCCTATTATTATTCGAAACGTCTAAATCTAAAAAAAGTCGTAATCTTCGGCAAAAAGAATTTAGATTATTTTTAATGACGAAAGCACCATCATATGTAAAATCGCTGTGACTTATGCCAATCATTTCATCAAATGAATATGATTTAAAAGTAGCAATAATTTCCATGTCTAGTAACAGCTCATATCATTATTAATAAATTAATTAAAAGTTTGCACAATAAGAAATTATGCCATTCAAAGGGA